AAGTTTTTAGAGAAGTGAACAAAATAAACCTTCTTCAGTACCTAGCTTCATCAACCTTTTAATTTTGGAACACGAATGAATGATTGTCTGGAAATATTGAACTACTCTGCTCAAAAAGAAAAATGTAAAAAGCAAATAAAGTAAGGTTAGCACCGAAAGTAAACAAACAAATACAAAACGCGTGAAGAGATTCTTAAGAAAGTGTATAGTAATATGAAACTTAAAGTTACAAAGTGTTAAAGAATAAGAACAAAATAAAATCGCGAAAAAATRAATTAACAGAAAAAATATGCAACAATATTCTAACTGTAAATATTGAACTCTAAAAATAGTAAGTTTAATATAAATAAAGCAAAAGCGATATTTGAATATAAATAATTAAGCAGATAAATATGAATGCGTATAAAAGCTAGTAGTAAGTGCATATTAGCCTCTAAGTGCGAATTAAAGAAACTTATTAAATAAAATAATAAAAACATATAAATAAATAACTCTGATTTAGTGTAAGCGAAGGCAAAGATATACATGCATACATAGGTAAAAGTCAAAACTGAAATTCATTGGCAACAATTCATACAAGCAAACATACTTACATGCATACATTCAAGCTGTAATACGAGAATGTGTGTGTTAAGAGTTGATAAGAATGCATAAAAAAGAAAACTACAAATACAAAGGAAAGCACATTTAACTATGGTACATATTAGTTTTTCTTTTCTCAAATAGCAACAACAACAAAAGAACATATACTATTAATTTAAAGCAAAACTAGTATTAAATGGAAAGCGAGTTGAGGTAAATATTTGTTTAAGCTATTGAAGAATTACARTGTAAAAACAAATTAATTAGAGAGCATACAAAGATCAATACAAAAATATTACAAAACAAAAGCTTGTCGTAAACATGAAATGAATAACAATAAAAAACTACTATTTTATAAAAATAAATATTGAAAAATATGAATTTGACGTGTTTTCTTGCAAGGAGTTGTTCTTGTGGTTACCATTTGAGCCCACCGAAAATTGTGTTATGCAGATCACAGGTTTTTCTAATAATTATATTTTAGCACCAAATGTAATGAAATTTTTCAAAGTGGTGGCAACCTTACTTAAAAATATTCGCGACAGAGTTTTTTCTTACAAAAATTTGAAGTGAATTGAATAAAAAATAAATAAAGGTGGCAACTCTTCTTGAAATTTTTTTAAAAGTAGGAGCGAAGCATTAAAAGCCGTAGTGCGGAACTTCACTCCGCTAAACCTAACATACWCCCAACATCAGACTCTCCCACAGAACGACCTGATAAAATATTACTTTGTGGGGGTGATAAAACATACAAGTACACGTCTGCTCTATACACTGACTGCGCCTAATCTGCTCTATAGTTCTCAGTTTTGTCATGACTGAGGCAGCCGCTTCGCTCACAGCTTTCMAGTTCTCAGAGGACAGTAAAATTTCCACCGTATATAGTTTGAAGTTTTTTCCTTGTACTTGAAAAGCGAGGACAATAAAAGAGTCATGTCATATATGCTCAGGGTCTTCAAAGCAGTCTGAACACGTTGTACAATTACAACTAATGTCGGGGTGGAATCTGTACAGGTAGCTTCTAAAGCACTCATGTCTACTTAGTATTTGGACTAGGTGAAAATACAGGTCCGCATGTCCTCTGTCTGATAAAGAATCCGGTATCAGTATAGAATAGAATAGATATCCGGTATCAGTTTGCCACCGCTGCTGCCATATTCATAAGCTTTTGACTCTCTTCTCTTTTGGCACCTATAAACGGCTGTGATAACTTGTCTACCCGTTCGAATTTGTCACCCTGAATATCAAAGGACAAACTGGCTATTATTTCAGCAGCATTGATTGACATTGTTCGGCAAGCACTGATAACTRTTAGTGCCGACAACCTGTGCGCAGGTTGTTCAATAAGTTTTGTCATTCGATTAGAGAGGGCGTTGTGAAGTTTCATTTCAAACTGTGAATTGATTCCTTGTTTACAAACCACTTAGTGTCTCCGTGTCACAGTTGGCCTGCTGCATTTAAACGTGGTCGTAAAAGACTTGAAGACGACCGACGTGAAGGACGTTCAAAAAGCGCTTCAACACCAGAAATCATAGCCACAATAAAGGATATAGTTTTGGAAGGTCGCCAATTGATTGAAAGAGAATTAGTAGAGGCTCTACAYATCTCATTAGGCTGTGTGCATTATGGGTGCCGCATTCGCTAACAATGGAACAAAAACACATTTGAATGCGACAGCATTCCACAATATTTAGAGCGTTTCAAAAAGGACATAGTGGATATTTTGYGTCGATTTATCACTATGGATGAGACTTGRGTYTATCACCATGRTACTGAATMAAARCAAGAGRCTAAAGAGTGATGTGTACCTCGTTGTTCGGCTTCGAAACGGGTTCGTGGCTGGAAACCGGCCAAGRAAGTTATGACATCAGTTTTTTGGGATGCGAGAGAAGTTTTTGTRTGGATTACTTGCAGATTAGTAAAACAATTAATTCTGAATATTATTATTGAACCTTTTGGACCAAGTGAAGGAAGAAATCCTGAAAAAGACCCGGTTTGCAGAAGAAAAAAATCTACAAGAGCATTTTGACAATGGCTAAAATCCATGAATTATAGTTCCAATTGTTGAAGCATCYACCGTATTCACTAGATTTGGCCTCAGCGACTTCTATTTGTTTCCAGAACTCAAAAAATGTACGTGTGGCCAGCATTTTTCATCAAATGAGGAGGTCATAACGGCTGTTGAAGCGTGTTTTGCAGACCTTCCAGATTCTCACTTCAGGAATGGGATCAACAGATTCGCGGATCGTTGGAGCAAGTGCATTAATGTTCAGTGTGCTTACACTGAATAATAAAGTGTATTTTGAATCATAAAATTGTGTTTTTCTTATTAAACAATAAATGTTTTAGTGCCTAGCGCCTGGAACTYATTACTTTACGAGTTGAAATCGCTGGGTGGAACGCACGCAGACTGACAAGAACTGCTTGGCGCCTAAAAATGAATCCAGCCAATTTTGTGAAGCATATTTCAGTGAGGTCGTTTTTGTTTTTTTTTTTTTGCCACTAGTTTCGAGCATTTTTCGGCAATCGCTCAATTTAATTTGATGAGTTTTGGTCAGTAGTATTCCTCATTAATGGCTTCACGCAGTTCTAAAAGTTCATAATAAAGCTCATAGAGAGCATTACATATTCGGYTTTGCCGTTGTTATGGTTTCTTGGCCAGATTTTACACATAASATTTTGGATTTAAGTTCAAGCAGCATTTCATGTAAAATGTTCAATGCCTTTCATATGACACCCAATTTCCTTGTTTTTGAGTATTTTCGGCTACTTTAAAATGTTTTGAAAAGTCTACGGGCTACGTTTGCCATTTCCAAACGCTTCTGTGAGCTGTTCTTGTCCTCTATTACRGCAAATTGTTTATCCCTAAAACATATTTGTAGTTTGTTTAGCTTTCTAGTAGCAAAGCGCACAGTAAAACTGCAACCTGTTTCTAATGATAGCTATTCCGCTATAATCTGCCATCCACATAATCTTATCATAAAATAGCTTGCATTTACTAGGGTTCAAGGCTATGGGAGATACTACGTCTGCTTCAAAATGATAACCAGTAAATATTATTGACGGTTTTCTATCCGTCTCTTCGAGAGGCGCTTCGTCCATTTGGAATACCAATCGTAATAACGATCAGATTTTATCTTTGCGTGTGTGGAAGAAGGCTGTAAAAAATATTAAACTTTGTTGAAAATTTTCTTAAATATATTCTTATATTCCATCGATCGACATGGYTCTGATCTTTCTTTGTAATTTCAGCAACCATAGAACAGTTTTCCATCATCTTTACACYGGTGATAATGTGTATCCTCAAAGCAGAGTATCGAAGAAGACCTGAAAGAGTTCGCTCGTCATCGCTTGCAACCATTGGAGCTATGCTCTTTCACGTTAAGGAAGACTTTGCGGAAGGATCATGGTTTACAGGCGAAATCCAGTATATTCGAGAAATGAAGCTTAACGATGGTCCCGATTTTCACGAGAATCTTTTTCAACGATTAAGCTCACTTTTGGTTGAACTGATACTATAGTTAGCAAAATTGTGTCATCTATAGTAATGATACACCATAAACCACTGTTGACAAGTCGTTACATCCTCAAAAAGTCACTGTTTGGTGTGCTCTATGCGCATATTTCTACAAAAATTWAACCGCACATAATGTAACCCATAASGGAACGCTATRGAGCCATAMYTAATGACTWTTTCGCRCCTTATTTGGGARAGGTTGATATAAGCGACCTTTAGTAAACGCATTATCTCGCGTAGTGGGCCGGTAGCATGGCCTCCAAGATCATGCGTTTTAATATCACTAAACTCTGTTTTGTGGGCTTACGTRAAAACGCTTATCTACGCAGATAAGCTGTAACAATTTAAAGGTGGTCAAAAATTAGTTCTCTCGGCTGGAACTAATTCGATCTGGCCTAGGTGATCAATTCCCGATATTATTTTTAGAATATAATGGCGAACTCCTATCTTTGTTACAAAGCTGAATTCATGGGATAATATTGAATTATATGAGTTTTATTTCTTCTCCAAAAATATATGTTTAAAAAAGACCTTAAATATAGAAGGTGTGCGGATCTTTTTTCTTCTTTTCATTCACGACGGCAAATGAAACAACAAATTGGAACAGTGGTGAGTATTACCCCAGAAAAAAACTTKTTCTTATATTATAGATTTAATATTSTACCCGCAAYTTTTATYCTGWTTCGTAYGAATGAATACAATCATGCCATTGAATTATAAGAGCCCAAATGATTATACAGGCAAATCGGACGACAGCTAACAATCAAGGGCAATCAGTTATAAATTATTTGTAGACCTTATTCTGTATAGTCGATTCTTTATACACTATGTACCAAGGATTCATCCAAACCCCATCTCGACATATTTAGAGACTGCCCGTTATAAAAAAATAAAGATTATGTTTAGAGGTTGTGAAATAATTTAACATTTACTTAACATTATTAGTACAAAAWTAAATCAGTATGAATGCGAATGCACATTGGTRCCGACTGCAAATACAATTACAAAACATTTATTGTTAATACACTTGAAAAACATTAGTTCATTTTGTTTTCCACATAAAGGCACAACGGTCTGGCAAATTCGAAATTTATGCAGCGTTAACTTGACTGAGTCAGCTTAGGCGCGRRCACGTGACGCCTTCTTGCTCTTATCGGCCTTTGGTGGKGGTGGGCCACGTTCGCTCTTTATGTGCCGGTTGTAGAGACTGTAAAGAAGAATTATATGCATAAAAATTTCAAACTCAATAACKSGCWTCACCGAATTCAACTCAACTCACATTTTGTAWGTTTCCGTTTTTATGTATTCGATGACGTGGCTAATACCGAGCAGATACTGCTCTTGTATGGGCACCACCCACGGATTCTCCTCCATCTTCATCACCGATTTGCTKCCTAACAAATCCAGATTACCCACTTCCGGTGGCAGCACCTGCAGYCGATTATTTTGAATATGCAATTCGCGCAGACGCGTCAGTTCACCAATTTCACGCGGCAAATCGAGCAGATCATTGTCGCGCAAGCCGAGTATTTGCAGGTTCTTCAAATTGCCCAACTCCTTGGGAATGTGTTCGAAGTCGTTGTCACCCAAGTAGAGTGCGCGAAGTGTTTCGATCATAAAGAAATTTCCCGGCAGCACATTCTCATTGAGATTATTGTAGGAGAGATCCAATACCTCTAGCACGGGGAAAGCGCCGAAACCGCGTGGCAGGCTGTCCAAACGATTCAGCGACACATTTAGTATGCGCAATTTCGGCATTGACGAGAGCGATACAGGCAGCTCGCGCAAACCGTTATTGGACAAATTCAATATCTCTAAGTTGAGCAGGTTGGCAATACCCGGGCTGATCATGGTGATCTTGTTGTGGCTAAGTGTGAGGCGCGTAATGTAGGACATGTTGACTGAAATTAGAGGAAAGTTATCAAATTACATAGACGTTGTGTAAAAATATTATCTAACATGTATTGCATGAGGCATTTCGCATATTTAGAGATAGTGATTTTAATTATATCTCACTCCTATTATCCAAATATTTATATAAAGAAGCAATGCACGTTTTGATGCTAAATCTGTTTCCGAAATTCAAACAAATCCAGAAGTATGCATATCTGGGTTGATGGCTTACACTTAATAATAACGGATAAGTAATAGTTAACCATTAAATAAATACAGTTATGGCAAATTATATATATTGTCACTCAAATAAATAATAGCGCTAGATATAACGTGATCTACGACTGTATTTCTGACAATAGAACTGTTTTTCAAAAAATCCATCGGTCGTCTGACTTCATCCTAATTTGCAAAGCGTGCAAAATGTTTGTAGAAAATGTTGTCCAAATACCTATAAAAATTTTGTATATGAACTCGTAAAACGCTGTCATCGTGGTGAGTTTGGTGGTGGTGATAAATTCAACAGTATATTGAATACGTACGGCCTGCGTTACTTTTCTAATATAATATTGGGCTGATCGACAGGGATATTGAGCGAAAAATGTTGGTAACGAACTATATCGTTTTCCACTGACATTAACGGTGTCTCCAGCTTCCTTTCGAAAGGAGTACGGACCAATGACTCCACCAAAACCACACCTACCTATCAATTTGGGTGAATGTTTTGGTTGTTAATGAATAATTTGTTCTTGATGATGAAATTGAAAACATTACTCAAAACAATAAAAGAATAATTACGGATCATGGCATATTAAAATTGGTGTTGGTGTTGGTAGACCACTAGTCCTGCGTACCATAACATTGTTTTGTATTGAGAGTTTAAATAGCAACGAGTTTTATGCAAATTTTTTTTAATTATTGAGTAAATTGTGATATACGGTTTAACGAATATTTGAGCTAATTCGGTAATGCGGAAAATAATGGCAGTTCTGTGCTGTTTAAACTGCTAAGCTGTTAAAAACTGCGCTTTATTTTAAAAAATGGTAGACTACTTCAATTTCGAAGCTATGGTTTTTTTATTCTTGCATTTATCGATAGTCTATACCTTCAAAAATTGCGTACTAAAGTAATAATTAATATTTCACAAGCTATTTGTGAATCACAGACTTCTATAATGTAACCCCTCAGTGAAATCAGTTCTTTCTATGATAAACTGATTGCTGCTTTTAAATCAGCGCTGTTCCTTATGTAATTGAATTTTGCCAAAAACAATAAAGAGTTTACTTAAAATTCAACTTTTTAAAACGCCGGTCGCATGTAACTTAAAAAAGATTTAATTTTTTTCATAAAAATTTTACTGTATAATCCAGTGGTCGGCATGAGATGATCTGTCACTGTGTTGGTGAGCACGAAAAAAAGTAGCCCAATGAGACATTTTCGATTTTTTTTTATCTAAATAATGAATAGTATAATGAAAATTAACAAAATGTCTTTTAAGGATATATTCCCTATTATCATTAAAAGACTTGGAACATAAAAGGCATTGCATGGCACCAAAGGCATTTAGAATCATAAAATATTTCTCGCAGGGCATATTTCTTTTTGCGCTATAGTCTTGCGCGATGTTAATTCGTTGCCAGGAATAAAGGGATGTTCAACTTATTCCAGTGTGAGAGCACCTCAAAATTAGCGTTTTTTATAACATTTTCCATAATGACCAGATTGGACAAAATAATAATTTTTGGGCATTTAAATTAAAACAACCAACATTTAGTACGAATAAGAATTACTATATACTGGTTATTTATTATATGGAGAAACTATTCAAATTTTTCAATGCCCAATAAAAGGATTTAATAATTTTCCATTGAAAATAATACTATAATGCTTCAAATTACAAAACCTTTCATCAAATACCTTTAAATTTCACAAATTTATTTAATTTTTATTGTTTCACATTTTTTATAAGTGGTATTGAACGATGCAACATATCCCTTCGTTTACATATTTTTTTGCTAAGATTTCAATCTGGCCATCGCTCGTTTCCAATTGTTAAACGTCAAAACCTCCTGAACTCGATCAACTGTCAAAATTTAGGTGGTTTTGACGTTTAGCAGTTGTTCTCTCACTTCCAGTGAGAGAGGAGTTAAACATCTCATTATCTCTGTTCGTTGCTTCCTCGACAACGACTGAACGATAGAGCGTAAGCGTACGTGTGAAGTTAGTTTGCAAAATTTTGCTATGAAATGCCGACCACTGGTATAATCCCATAATACATATCATACCATTTAAAAACAGCTGATGCATAAACTTTTCATTTAAATTTTCAAAAAGCGCCTTTTTGTAGGGTGGTGTGCTCTAAAATGTTTTCAACAATGACCAAAAGTGATGATTTATGTACTTATTTATACATTTTGTYTACAAATTAAGCCACTGCGACATAAAGCTGTAACATAGATCAAATAGCTTATCGATAATATCGCAATAAAATTGAATTAGCAATTACAACCAAAATACTATCCTGGAAACTAATACTTAATATTGAGAATTGAAGCGTTTTTCCTGCAACAATTTCACTTAAATCCAACCGATTACTAAAGTAAATAAAGATTAAAGGGATTACAGTGACTTTCAAACTACACCAATGCGCATGGCTAATATTTACATAGCTAATGTCAACAGAGAGCGGCTGCTTCCGTTGATAACACTCAATTAGTACTCACGCGAGTGTATCTTAAATTGTGCTCTTAGAAAATCTTTATACATATATGTATATGTATATACACGCAAACAACAAATAGATAAGTACATTTTGTCACGCACTCGACACTATACATACAGAAACAAACATACTATATATATGTATGTTAATTACTTAATTCATTCTTAAATTAAGTCGGTGTTGTCGAGGAGACAAAATCTTTGATCTTTGAGCTTGATAAAAAAGTACTATGAAGGGAGTTATGACTATTATGCTGATCAGTTGTATTTGCTGCTGCATACATATTTACCTAACGCATACATATTTACATAACAACGTTGTGGATGTAGTAAAATTAGAAAAAAAATTAAAATTAGTAAAAATTACAAAAAAAAAAAAAAAAAAAAAAAAAATCTGATCAAAGTCTCAAAATAATTGTTGAGTTTCAAAAAATTTCTGAATCTTTTTGTGTACCATAGTTTTGGAGCCTTGAAAATTATATTCATCTGATTGAAACTAGCGTGTGATAATCACTGACTTTATTACTCATAATAAAGGATGTTTAAATCATTGTTTAAAATGTATGTGTCTTGCTACAATAACAAGTTCTTATACATCGAATATTTAGAAAAAATTTTTAAACAAGACCATTTATTTGTGTTAAAAAGATAGTTTCGAAATTTTTGTAGTGATCTTCTCATAAAAATATGACTTGGATTTTTACTTTTTCGCTTACGAATTAAGGGTTATTTCATAACTTTAAGTATATCATAATTATTATAAAATGATATATTTATATCCGTCTCTTTCTTCGTAATGATTCATTTAGTCAAAAATTATAAAAATATTGTTATTTTCTATTCCTTGAGATTATGGATTATTTGTTTTTAGAGGATGCCGAAGTAACACAGCCTGTATATCAGGGAATCATACGAAAACCACAAAAATGATTTATAACATTTTTTTTTTCAATCAGTGGTATTTTCTACAGTAAGTTGGCAACACTTAAAATCTTAATTTTAAAAATATTTTTAAATTTATATTAAATTTCTTATTACGCTCAAAATGTTTTATGATTTTCTCTGCCCAAAAATATCACCTCTGCGTAAAATGCTGTGTGAAAAGCAACAAGCAACAAGTAACAACACTTAAAGTATATAGAGATATTTGGTGTGCGCTCTTGAACAAACAATTTTATTTTTATGGTATTTTAGGTATAATATTTCGTAATTTATATGGTCAGTTATGTAAATTTTATACCCTAATATTCCAAAACAAAAGCTTTGATTCCTATTAGCATGGTGAAAATTTGCATTTTCATACTACTTTAGTTGACAGCAACGAAAACGCCTACCATATACTTATGTATCACACAGCTGTCGTGATGATCTCATAAGCATATTGAATTTATCACGAACCGTATGAGTATGCCAAATATCACACGATATTTAATATTCATTCAATATCATAACATAACGGMACATAATTTATATTACAATATTTGGAATTAATCATAAAAGCACTAAAAATCACAATTTACACAATTTCCAGGCAATATTTTATATATTCTATAGGAACAGTTTGAGRGGTCATGTGTAATATTTTGTTACATTTATTGCGAACATTTTGCTTTTAGTAGTTTGTTCACAATTGTTATTCACTTCTTTTGTTTACACTTACACAATCCCGGCAGCTCCTCGAAGGAGCTAATGCCCTTGTCGACCAAATCGAGCTCACGGTTCTGCGTTTCACGCGCTTCATCCAACACCTTCTTCGCCTTCGACATTTTGGCATTGACTGGCAGACACGATTGACTCATTTTCGCTGGTGGTCACTATGCTGTTAGAGACTGTTTAGTATTTGAGTGAGTTTTTTTCTCTCCTATTGTGCTGTGTGCGTTTGTTTTCGACTTTGATGTTTGCTTTTGCTTTGCTGCTTTTATTATTATTTGTTTTTTTTTTTGTTTTGATTTTCGTTCACACTTTTTATATGGGTGAAAAAATTTTAAAATTTATTTTTGCTCGTTTAATTTCACTTTGTGTTTGTAAAAAAAAAATTATAAAATACCTTTTAAAATTAGACATATACAGTTCCGATCAAAATAATAGCAGTTGGCTAAATTAAAACATCAACAACATATACAGCAGTCTTGATATGCTGTTTTATTCTATTTATACCTATTATATATGCAAATTAATTCCCGCGACGAGGGAATTAAAAAAAATATATATATGTGACCTAGTCTACGAAAAGGGAGCTAACGTTCGAAAACTAGTTTTCTGGGAAACAGCTGTTAAAAATCTCATCTTCCAKCCGAATCAACTAAAAAGTGAAAAGTGGTTTTTTGACACCTAAGCCCCCTTTCCGTAGACCAGGTCACACATATGTTTTACATCCGCGAACGCGCGGATAAAATAAGAACACGTATGGTTCCCGTGGATTGCAAGATACAAATCAAAATCTTTATTTCTGAAATACTAATATATATACATTTTCTAATAATTTTTTTTTAAGTTAAAGCTAAAGCTGACGTGACAAAGAAAGAGTTAATTACAATATTAGCTGTTTCAGCAAATTCCAGCAGCACGTTACGCGTTCTGTCTTTTTTACAGTTGTTATTGTTATGGCTTCTTGTGAGGGCAAGCGATATTGTTTTGATAAAAATGGATTATTGAATTCAGAACGGAAAAAGCATATCGAATTCTTAAATAATCAAAAACGTTAATTAAGATTTCTAATTTATGAGACAGTGTAAGTGCAAAGTGCAAAGATTCAATTTTATTTACAGTTATGGTAAGGTTGCTAAGCATTTGTGTGAAGTTCAGTTTCACGCTAATTCATTAAAAATGTCGAAAGTCTAATGCAATAAAATACTATGTAATTACTCGTATTATATAAAATTTAAAAGAACCGGTTCAAACCATTACCCTTTTCCTTTCCTAGCCAGACGAAATCTTCTCCCTTCTATTAATTGCCTGAATTTTTTTAACCTTTCCACTATTGTCGGTCGGATGGAAATATTCCCATTAGTTTTTGGGGTTAAACAATTTCACTTTTGAGCTCATTTCTTCTATCTTTCTAATTCATTTATATTTCCCTGTTGTGTTTTAAACTCTTTTTGTTCCCTCCCCTTAAAAACTGATGACATGAAACCATTCGTTGCTTATGCACGAATTTTAGCTCTCCTTCTAGCACCTTTGATGTAAATCGTATCTGATTGGTTCTACGCCATAAAAAACGATTATATTTCTAGAAATTACTTATGTCACTTTTGAGGATATTAGTTTGATGAACTGAGTTCTATTTGAAATTTTTGGATCTTGATAGTAATGATTGAACTATTATAATTTCAATAGTACTTTTCATAAAATTTTAGAATAAGTTCATATACGAGTACCAACGCTCAAAATATTTGATTGGGAATAATGAGCGTAGTTTATTATTTTAGTCTATAAATTTGAAAAAATCGAAATTTTTGTTTGTTTTTTCATAATTCGATAGTTTTGATATTCAAGAATATCTCCCTAAAAGAATTTTTCAAAGCTCAAATTGTTTTCAAAGTTATAGCCATTTTAGTGACGTGGCAACTAGACGGTTGAGCGAACTATCTATCAATCTATTACGCTGCCCGAAACTTAACGTAAAACTCTAAACGCGTTTTTCTCAAAATCAAGTTCTAATCAGTCGATTTATTTGAAATTTGGCATGAGTATTCTGTAAATATATGCCTATCACTAGAAGCAACAAAAAAAAAAAAAATTATAATCTTAAAAAAAAAAAATGGAAAAAATTTAAAAATTAGTGAAAACATCGACCTTTTTTTTTGAGAAGCCGCCATTTTATGAAAAAAAAAAACTTTTTTTAGTTTTGGTGCTTCATGACATAGCGACATTCGTCTCACTAACAATCTGTCATTGTTTTATTTTTCAGATGACGACAAGGGCGAAATTCGAGCCTCTAGACTAGAATACCCCCTTAATACTTGAAGATAAAATTTTCGTCAATTCTTAATGAAATAATTTCTATATATCCACGGTATTAGAAAATCTACGTTCCACAACAACTTTCATCACATTTGGCCTTAATGTTCTCTCTAGAATTGAGTTCAAGTATGTTATTAATTAATTAGTGGTTTCGTTTTACCAAAAAGAAAGAAATTGTAAAGAAATTAAACTAAGCATTTGATCTCATTACTTTCTGCATTTGACCACATGATTGTTTGTTCCTAGTCAATTACTTATATATGTTACACTTGTAATATATGCAAGTAGAAAAATTTCCACGAAAGGAGTTTAAGGGTAAACCCCTTATCTCGTTAAAAAGCAATCATTGTTACATCTGTAATTTAGAACAGAGTAAAGAAAGAATAATTTTCATGCAAGTGTCTGATTTTGTCAAATGTAACATTTACATRTTATATATAATGATATTCCTCTTAACCGAACATCCACCGTCGAAGCCGCTAAGGGAGCTGTCCAACTCGGCACTGTATTTCTATTGAACTGAATAAAAGACAATTACTGAGCCACCGGGAGCAAGACACTTCCAGTGCAAGTCAATAGGTTGGTCAGCTGTCTTAAAATATCACGTAAATGTTGTATTCAAGAAGTTTGTCCGGTTATGAGAGGTGTACGGTTATAAGGGCTGTACTACAACTCGTCTGTAAGGACTAATAAAATCGTTGATCCCACATAAATGAAGATCTTACTAATTAACAGTTTTTACCCATAAATTTCTTTAGACTTAATAACTTAATATAACAACTGCTATATTTTTAATAGTCACTAGAAAGCTTAAACTAAGAAAACATATACGAATCTAAATTGGAAACTTTCAGAAAGTCATAATAACATGAAATGGCAATTTTATAAAACACGACAAAATATAGTTGTATTCCGCGAAAGAAATTTATTTGAGTAAGCCAGTTTTATGTCAGTTGTTTGTTTATGGAGTTGCTGTAGCAATAGAAAATATTCCATATACACTCTATGTGGACAATCCCACTTCGATTCCGTGAACGAGTCATCGAAAATTGGACTCAACGAATGATTCGTCTAAAACGTAGTTGCGACTAACATTTGAAAGAAATAATTTTCGAATAATAAATACCAATGATTATTTCGAATGGTAATAAATATTACCCATAAATTTTGAAGTTCCTGTATTATTTCTTAAAAAAAGTAGGGAACCCCGAAATGGCATCTGCAATGCCCATGCGTGAGATTTGTTCTGTAAGTGAGTGACCTAATGAAAAGTTGTATTATATAACTGGTAAAGAAGGGTTTCCAAACTTGTTATGGTTTCATCATAGTATCTTAATTTTTACTCATGTTAAAGCTTGTACGGACGGACGTGTCAGTCTCCCGGATTTCAACTTGTCTCATCATCCTGATTAGTTATATACAGTATATATGGGGTATTCCATACCAAATAGACAACTTTTGAACCCGACCCTTTTAGATTTTGCTGAAACTTATCCATCCTTTTCTACCCTTTGAAAAACATTTTTTGAGAATTTTTAATTTTTTCAAAATTTTTTTTTTCCAAC